AGCCTAGACCTGCTGGGCTCAGGAGATCCTTCCGCCTCAGCCTTCCAAGTAGCTGGAACTACAGGCGCACACCACCACACCCAGCTAATTTTTGATTTATTGTAGAGATGAGGTCTTGCTTTTGTTTGTTTGTGTTTTTTGAGTTGGAGTCTCACTCTGTCGCTCAGACTGGAGTGCAGTGGCCGCTCCCAGCCACCGCAGCCTTGACCTGCTGGGCTCTGGTGATCCTTCCGCCTCAGTCTTCCAAGTAGCTGGAACTACAGGTGCGCGCTACCACACCCGGCTAGAGATGAGGTCTTGCTAAGTTACCCAGGCTGGTCTCAAACCCACCCACGGGCTCAGGCAATTCTCTTACCTCAGCCTTCCAAAATGCTGGGATTATAGGCATGAGCCACCACGCCTGGCCTCATCTTTCATTATCTTAATGACAGTAGCAGAAAGTCAATATTTATTAAGTCCTTTTGTGTTAGACACTCTTGTAAAGACTTTACATGAATCTTTTAATTCACTGTTCAAGTTATCCCATAAGTCCTATTATTAAATCTATTTTATAGACAAGGAAACTGAAGCAAAGAGTGGCTTAATAATTTGCCTAAGGTCATGTACATTAGAAGCAGAGGAAGCAGGATTCCAGGCTGTCTGACTTCAGGTCTGTTCCTAATCATCCATGCTACACTCCTCATATGAACAGGTCAGGAAATACTGTGTAAAGTTGACAAATCAAGATATAAGTCTGTAATGCATAGTTATTGCTAAATACCCAAATAATTAAAAACAAGCAGTTATATCCAAGCAGCTACATTCACTGAAAGGAAAGAATGGAGAGGGGATACAGTTTGTACTTAACATAATTCTCTGTTCTTTGAAGTTTCTATACTTTTTTTTTTTTTTTGAGTAGGAGTCTCACTGTCGCCCAGGTTGGAGTGCAGTGGCATGCTCACGGCCACGGCAGCCTCCACATGCTGAGCTCAGGCGATCCTTCTGCCTCAGCCTTCCAAGTAGCTGGAGCCACAGGCAAGCGCCACCATGCCCAGTTAATTTTTTTACTTATTGTAAAGATGAGGTCTTGCCATGTTGCTCAAGCTGGTCTCAAACTCCTAGACGCAGGCAATCCTCTCACCTCCGCCTCCCAAAGTGCTGGAATTATAGGCGTGAGCCACCAAGCCTGGCATGAAGTTGCTATACTTTCACAGATTACTTTTTTTAGTAACCAGAAGGAGAGATGGACAAATGGGCAGGAAAAAATAGTTATATTTTCATATAGAACCCAAGAAACTGCATCTTACATTATGCAATGAGTTAAATTGCAGGGGAAAAAAGACAACAAAGTAAAACCAAAATTTTTCTCATTAATAGCTACAGCATTTCCTTGTTCCTTGCAAACCACTAAAATAAGGCCTCAGGCTCCCCACCTATGACAAACTACTTCAAAATCCTACCTGAGGCAAAAACAATACCCACATACAATAAGAGTTTGCAATGCTCTTCTTTGTTCCTATACTGTTCCTCTCTCCTGTTACACTTATACACACACACATTGTCATTTCAAAAGATCTCTTTTAGAAGGAGGACATGGCAGTATATGCTCATTTAAAAAGTGGAATGGGCTGGACTCGGTGGCTAAGCCTGTAATCCCAGCACTTTGGGAGGCCGAGGCGAGTGGATTGCCTGAGCCCATACGTTCGAGAATCGCCCGGGCGACTTGGTGAGACCTTGTCTCTACAATAAAGGTGGCTCAGCCTGTAATCCCGCGCCTTTGGGAGGCTGAGGTGAGTGGATTGCCTGAGCCCGCGGGTTCGAGACCCGCCTGGGCAACTTGGCGAGACCTCATCTCTATAATAAATCAAAAATTAGCCGGGCATCGTAGCGCACGCCTGTAATTCCAGCTACTTGGAAGGTTGAGGCAGAAGGATCACCAGAGCCCAGCAGGTGGAGGCTGCGGTGGCCGGGAGCGGCCACTGCACTCCAGTCTGGGCGACAGAGTGAGACGCCAACTCAAAAAAACCCAAAAAAACAAAAATTAGCCAGGCAGGGTAGCGCGCGCCTGTAGTTCCGGCTACTTGGAAGGCGGAGGCGGAAGGATCACCAGAGCCCGGCAGGTCGAGGCTTCAGTGGCCGGGAGTGTGCCACTGAACTCCAGTCTGGGCGATAGAGTGAGACTCCAACTCAAAAACAAAAAATAAAAAAATAAAAAATAAAAACTGGAATGGAGGGAAACAAAACTGACTTTGAAAAATTCCCTATATTGCCTTACTGATTACCTTTCTGGAAACGTTCCAGCTGTCCTCTCCTTTTTGGTTGTTGTAAGGCTTCGTCACACCATTAAGGACCAAATTGCGCGTACTATGTGCTCACAAGTACCTCCTCTTCTCCTTATCTCTTTCCTCTCTTCTTCTCCCACTCTTATTCTTGTTCCATAGACAGCCAGACCATCTATCCAAGGCCAGCTAATCAACACATGCAACCCAATCCAGTAATCAACAGACACTTAGTGGTAAATCACCTGAATTTTACTTGCAAATGAAAAAATACAAAAAGGTCAATTTGCTCAATTTCCCTAGAAACAAGGGCAACTTCAGATCTGCCATCTTTTTAGATTTAGAGCCAAAAGGAAACACCATTGTAAGCTATGGGCTGGAGTGAACACGGTGGTTGGTTGCCTGCCCCAAATCCATTTCATTCCTACTGAATAGCAGCAATGTTGTTTGCCGATATAAACTCAGGGCTGCGCCTGAGTGATGGAGGGATAATCCCAAGTAACTGACTTGGTCAGGAATGGGTATATAACCCAATTCTGCACTATGAAAACGAGAAGAGATTGCTGGAAGCTTATGCTTGATGCGTGCAGCCAAATCCACACATCACTAATCCCTTGGTAACAGCTGAATTTTACTTGCAAATGAAAAAACTCAAGTAATCTCTTGAGAAAGTTTCAAGGGAACAACTGTCTCTTCAGCCGGACATGTGCAAAGAAGCAACCACCCCACTGCTCTGGTAGCCTCCTACAACCAACCATGAAGGAGGATGAAACAGATGAAAGCTAACACCCAAAAGAAGGCACAGCTGAGAAGCTTACAGAGAAACAGAGCCTGATCCCCAAAGAAACTATGCTCCATCTACTTCCTGAGTTCTATTCAAATGAGTAATAATCCTCAATATTACAGTCAGTTTTAATCGGGTGTCTTTACTTGCAACCCAAAGTCCCAATACACAAGTATTATAATACATATCTAAAATATCAATGAAGGCCAGGCGCAGTGGCTCACGCCTATAATCTTATCACTTTGGGAGGCTAAGAGGTACTTTGGGAGGCTAAGGCAGAACAACAGCTTGAGGCCAGGAGCTCAAGACAGCCTGAGCAGCATAGCAAGACCCCATTTCTACAAATTTTTTATTTTTAATTAGCCAGGTGTGGCAGCACATGCCTATAATCCCAGCTACTTGAGAGGCTGAAGCAGAAGGACCACCTGATCCCAGAAGGTCAATGCTGTGGTGAGTTGTGATTGTGCCACTGGCACCTGTGCGACTCTGACTCAAAAAAAAACAAAACAAAAACAAAAAACAGAAAAGAAAAGAAATTCTGATTCACACTGCAACACGGATGAACCTTAGGGACATTATACTAACAGAAATAATCCAATCACACAGAGACAAATACCACATGATTCCACTGGTATTCGGTATTTAGAGTCATCAAGTTTATAGAAACAGAAAGTAGAATGGTGAATGCCAAGAGCTGGGTGTAAGAAGGAATGGATAACTATTGTTTAATGGATTCAGAGTTTCAGTTTGGGAGATAAAAAAAAGTGCTAGCTATGAATGGTGGTGATAGTTGCACAACATTGTGAATGTACTTAATGCTAATGAATTGTACCCTTAAAGATGGTTAAAATGGTAAATTCTATGATAGATATATATATTTTTATCACCAAAAAAAAACCTCAAAAAAAGGAGTTTTTCTAATATCTGGGCACATAACTGACAGCTTCCAGGTAAAAGGAACTGTCACTGTGGAATTGGCACTGCTTTATATAGCAAAACATGGAAGAACAGTTCAAGCAAAGAAAAAGAAGAGGAAATACCCAGTTGTTATTGCTGAAGCCCAATTCTAATAGGAAATCTTTAACAGAATCACTTCATGTTCCTTGTTTTTACTAATAGCTCACAGGAAAAAATCCGTAGGGCCTGAATGTGCCTATTTCACAGTGAGATTAGGTGCTCTGCTAAAAACCACAAAACGAATCCCAGCAGGAGAAATAAAGCCTATGGCTTAGCTTTCGGAGCATCTTGTGCTAATAAAACCCAGTAAGATAAGAAATGTCATAATTAAGTTGGATATGTAACCTGAGAAGCCAACAAAACAAAAAGGACAGCATCCTTTTACACAGAAACTACTCCATAAGTTTTGGTGATATATGAGCTCATGGGGGAGTGAGGAGCAGGGAGGCTGGGAATACGAAGTAACCATCGTAGTGCCAGGCACTTGTGAGTGGCTCACAAGACACAGTCCCTGCCCTTGAGTCCACACAGTAGTCTTCAGAACAGATTCATCAACTCCCTTCCTTGAAATACCCCCTCAGCTTTCTGCCGGGTATCAACTAAAAGGTCCCCTCCTTGAAGAGGCTTTTCTTTCCTTCATCCCTAGAATAGCTCTTTTTCCTTTCTTTATAGCACTTTTCACAATCTCTAATATCATTATTATTTTAAGTAATTATAATAATTATTTTTTATTATTATTATTTCCTCCCATGCACACTTAGAATATAAGCTCTAGAATGCGAGCTCTGTAAGTGAATAAATGTCTTCACTGAACCCTCGGGGACAAGCACAGTAAATGATCATCATGGGCACTCAAATACTTATTGAACAAATGAAAATAAGAATTATAACCAGTTTAATAATACGGCTTTCTGATAACCAACATGTCCTCAGGCTAGTTGCCCCCAAGTCCCCAGACAGGGCACCCTTAGTTATCATGAAGGAATATATTGGGTACTCACCTCTACCTGAGTAACATTGATGACCAGCACCACCACCATCAACACTGCAAGCAGACAGCAGAAAAGCCGCAGTTTGAAGAAACTGGTCCACATTGTCTGGCTGTGTCTTGATCACCCATGGCCGACACCAGGCTACCTTCACTCCTCAAAACTCCATGTCTTTGCTTTTCTGAGCTGCAGATGAGCTTTCAGTTTAATATGTTTCCATCCTGCTAGCAGCCTTAAGAGTTCTTTATGTAGAGGAGAGACTGTAGTTGATTTAAGAAGCACATTTTTCTTCAAAGAACTCCTTCAAAGAGGGGAGATAAGAGAATGTCACTAAGGACAATAGCCTAGGGTGAGGTGAAGGGAAAATACCATATTTCCTCTTCTTAACTTGATATAAGGCCCAAAGTAACGAGGAGAAAGCAAAGCGCTAAAGCACAGTAATGTCAATTCCATTTCCGGACAATCTCCTCAAAGTTTCGCTTCCCAATATCAGACTTCTGTGTAAATACAGTAATATTTCCCCTATTACCTATCTAGGTTTCAACTTTTAAGAAAACAAACAAGAAGGTCTACAAACTCAGAAAGCAAAGAAGAAAGTCTGCAAACTCAGAAATTGCTAAATAAAAGTAACCGTTAAATTTCTACAGAGGTCCCTGTGAACAAAATCACTTCCCCTCCCTTGTGGTTTGTTATGTAACATTGCAAATTATATTTAAAGACCATTAAGAGGAAACCTTGTGTTTTCATGAAGAACACTGGGATGTTGTGAAACCCATCCTGACATTCTCTGGGAAACGACACATAGCAGTCCTCTAAAAGGCAGGAAGCAGGAAACACCCCACACCCCTTGGGTTTCCAGTTCGCCCCAACACATATGTGGGGGGCCTGGAGCTCGCTCCGCTGAGTAACAAAGCACAGGAGGACAGACACTTGCATAGCAGATGTGGGGAAGGAAAGTTAAGCTTGAGAAGTGGATACCAGGATCCCCAAATCCTTCATCACAGCTGCTAGAGTCAGTCGTTCCTAAATGTTTGCCCAAGTAACGAATTTAAAATGCTCTTTCTGGTTGCTATTTTGATATAGGTAAACAGAGAAGGTCCTGGTATTCTAGAGACTTTCCATGGAGGGCAGGGCATTACCAGAGGTAAAGGTGGAAAGGGTGCATAATCACGGTGCAGGGTATCACAGAATTGTTCAGCTGTGTCACTACTGCCCTCAGCTTTGTGTTGGACTTGGCAAGCCCCCATTCTCTCCTCCTCTGCTTCACCTGTCTGAACCATTCCCAAACCACAATGACTACACCAACCAGCTTCAGAAAGGAGTCAAGGCTGAGCTATTCCAACACTCTCTCCATCCTCAGAATTACCCCGCACCTATTATTTTCACTTCTCAGCTGATCTGTGTATGCATTTCCCATCTCACCAACTGAACTATACCAATTACTACCTTTGAAAAACAGAAACTGGTCAGGCGCAGTGGCTCACACCTATAATCCCAGCACTTTGGGAGAGGATTACCGGAGCCCACAGGTTCGCGACCAGCCTGGGCAACTTGGCGAGACCTCATCTCTACAATAAATCAAAAAATTAGCCGGGTGTGGTGGCGCGTGCCTGTAGTGTCAGCTACTTGGAAATCACTTCCCTTCCCTTGTGGTTTAAGTTGTGTAACATTACAAATTATATTTAAAGACCATTGAGAGGAAACCTTGTGTTTTCATGAGGTGGAAGGGTCACCGGAGCCCAGCAGGTCGAGGCTGCAGTGGCCATGGGCATGCCACTGCACTCCAGCCTGAGAGACAGAGTGAGACTCTAACTCAAAAAGAAAAGAAAGCCAGAAACCATATATCAGAGTAAAGGCAGCTTAATGTATCATACTTTCATAATTCCCTCACACTACTTAGTTTTTTACACAGTATACATTGATTCAACGATTCATGCAACAAATAATTATGGAGGCTTACTCTGTGCCACATGCTGTACTAAGTGCCAGAAATTCCCCTTGAAAAGCTTACACTCACATTAGACAAGATGTTGCCCCTTTCTTAAAGAGAACTATAAAACTTCCACTCCTGGCCACCTCCACAGGGATGCCAGGCACTGTGAAAGACTGTACTTAACTGTCTTGTGCCCCCCTAACACCACCTCTCTCCAATATCCAAACACTTACCCTCAAGTGCCTATAAATTCTGGGAAGGAAATGGCTGTAAAATAAAGGATAACTCTGTCACCAGTGTCCCAACTGTTCTGCTGTAGAAATTTTTTTCAAAGAGTTGGCCATAAAAATCATAGGTTTCTCAGATGGCCAGAAAAAGAGAAGATCAAAGATGGCACTCCACAGGAATTCAGCACCATAGGCAGGCACAATACATGGGTTGCGTGGATACCATTTAAAGGACATCAGCCATCTTCACCCCTCTACCATGCATCTATGTAACCAAAAACCATTCGCACCTCTGAAGCTACTGAAATAAATAACATGACAGACGTCAGCGTGGTTCAGGGCCAGACAGTAGCAGCATACGGCAGTCAGCAGCAGATGGATGGCAAGGGCAGCAAGACTCCAAAGCCACAGGAACTAAAGGGTTACTGGTGGCAAGAAGCCCCTCATGGCTAGATATATCTGACAATAATTGTGAAGGGTCAGACCAGGAAAAGACCTGACTTTGTGCTATAAGCAAGTCGAGCACTGACATTTGAGAGACCCATGTATATACCTAAATAGATGTAGCCTGAAGTCTACATAGAATTCATTGAAAAGACACATACTGGCCAGTTTTAGTGGCTCATGCCTGTAATCCCAGCACTTTGGGAGATCAAGGCAGGAGGATCACGTGAGGCCAGGAATTCAGGACCGGCCTGGGCAACACAGTGAGATCCATCTCTATAAAAATAAATAAATAAAATAGCCAGGCACAGTGGCTCACACCTGTAAATCCGAGCACTTTGGGAGGCTGAAGCAGGAAGGCTGCTTGAACCCAGTAATTTGAGAACAGCCTCGGCAACATAGTGAGAATTCATCTCTACAAAAAAAACCAAAAGATTAGCCAGGTGTGGTAGCAGGCATCTGTGGTCCCAGCTACTGGGAGGCTGAGGTGGAAGGATCACGTGTGCACAGGAAGTCAAGGCTGCGGTGAGCCATGAACATATCACTGCACTCCAGCCTGGTCAACAAAGTGAGACCCCAACACAATACTAAAATGTTAATATTGGTCACCTCTGGGCAGTTTTTTCTCCTTTTTTTTTGAGTCGGAGTCTCACTCTATCACCCCAGGCTAGAGTGGCAGCAAATGCTCATGGCCATCTCAGCCTCGACCTGCTGGGCTCAGGCAAACCTTCCACCTCAGCCTTCCAAGTAGCTGGAATCACAGGCGCTCACCACCACGCCCAGCTAATTTTTTTATTTACTGTAGAGACTAGGTCTCTCCAAGTGGCCCAGATTGGTCTCAAACCTCTAGGCTCAGGCAATCCTCTAGCCTCCTTCTTCCAAAGTGCTAGGATTACAAGCATGAGTCACGGCACCAGGCTTGTTTTCTCCTTATTTTTTTTTTCCACCAGGAAATAACCACAAATAAAGCAGATTTCTAAAAGCAAAAATTAAAGATGAGACATACAAATAAGCAAGGCATTAAATCACCTTGGGGAAATCAATTAAACTTAAAATGAAAGAATTTTAAGTGAAAGAAGAAATCTATAACAGGTTTCTGGTATTTTTCTATAAATATAAGATGTTGGGAGCCAACATCTATAGCTACATGGCTGAGGCCTGTAAAGGCCCATCTG